CAGCAGGGGCTTGAAAACAAAGTGTGAGCAGCCGCTGGAGGTGTGGGACTCGCTGGTCCCCCAGGTCTGTGCCCTGCTGTCTCTGCCCAACAGTCTCCACCTGCCAGGGCCCCGGCTCACAGGCGCCTTCTCGGTGTCTGACTCCTCAGCCCCTATCCCATTGCTTGGCACATGGCAAGGGCCAGCGCCCGGATCGCAGTGCGTTTCCCGTGGCATTGATCTGCCTGCCGTGAGCCACTCCTCGACCCCAGCCCAGCACGTGGCCACACCGTCTCGGAGGGCCGGACACAAGTGAGGCGTTTGTGGTGGAAGTGGAGGTGGTCGTAGGCACACCAGCTGGGTGCTTCCCCGGGCAATGCCGTGTTGGTGGCCGCTTCCTCTCTCTGGGCCACACCGACCCGTCAGGGCTGTGTCTGCCACGGCCCACTGAGAGAGGTAAAGGGTGGCTTTTGTCCTTTTTGGATCCAATAGTTTTTCTTAAACCTATGTCCTGGGCTTGCCCTTGATCGTGTGGTTTAAGTAACACAGTCCAGAAAAAGCACACGGCGGAGCCCGGTCCTGCCTCTGAACCTGGCATGTGCACAGCCGGCCGCCCCCGTGACCAAGCCTGCTTCCCTCTGGGTGGTTTGGTGGATTTGCAGCAGTGAGGTGTGGGGACAGGCCAGGGTGCTGGCTAGAGCGGAGAAGAACCGGTCTTGCCCTGGCGTGGTCTCTGCGACCCCGATTCTCATTTTCCAGAGTCCTCGCAGGTCAGAGATTGTTGGCTCCATATCATTAGTAAGGACCAGAGTTTAAGATATATTTGAACGAGGGGGTGATGGGGTGTGCTCTTTTTAGAGAAGCAGCTTTCACAACTCTGTAAATAAAAGCTGACAGGCCCAGTTTGGGATCTTTCCAGAAACTTTATTCCCAAGCTATTTATTTTAGGTTTCTATTTTAAGATTGTTTTTGGCAAAAGAAAAATAGACACTCAACTACTTTCTATTTTCTAGTAGGAAAATCTCTGACTTGGGGCAATCCGGAGCAAGTCGGCCAGCCAGTCAGCTGGTACCGTGGAGGTTTATTCTCATAGTGGCACTGGGCGGGGGTTCTGGGAAGACACGGGAGACACGGCGTGTGGGCCGGAGCAAGTGGACTGGAGTCTGTGTGTGGGCCGAGAAATACACCTGCAGCTCCAGGCTTGGTCGTGTTTGCCCTTGTACACGGCTTCTGTCAGAACTGTGGGTTATGTGCTGTGTGCAGTCGGGCCGGGGACCCTGCCCTTGTTCTTGGACTCTTACCCGACCTCGGGGGTCTCTCCCAACGGGTCTTCATCCTTCCTAGAAGGGATACACCAGGCCCGGGAGGCAGGCTGTGAGCACCAAGGTCATGCAAGGTCACTCAGACATAGAAGGGAGCCCAGGTCTTTGGAGGGCGCCCCTGCTGTGCTGCACCCCCATAGGAGCTGCGTGTGTGTGCGCCCTTGCATGCATGCGACTTGTCTTTCTGGTTTAATTTGTTTGCTGACTTTGGTTTTGAAAACCTATCTGACTTTACTATAACTGAGGCCCTTCTGAAAAAAAGGG